TACTAAAAATACAAAAATTAGCCGGGCGTGGTGATGCGTGCCTGTAGTCCCAGCTATTGGGGAGCCTGAGGCAGGAGAATCACTTGAACCCAAGAGGCGGAGGTTCTAGTGAGCCGCGATTGTGCCATTGCACTCCAGCCTGGGAGATAAGAGTGAAACTCAGTCTCAAAAAAAAAAAAAAAAGAGCGAGGGCATCGTTAAAAGATTTTCGGATCCTCTGGAGTTCTGAAATCTCTGTCCCCTCCCTACTCCCCCGGCTCTAGTCGGCAGAGCTCAGCTGTGTCTCATTCCCTCGTGTCTGGACCTTACAGCCAGCCCCTAATTGGAAGCACCTCCCTGTCTCCAGCCCCAGCCCCACGTCCCACCAATCCTCTGTGAATGAGGCCATGGCCTCCCTCCACTGCCCTGAGCTCCAGGCGGGCATAGAAAGAAGGCATCGGGCCCTGGGCAGGTGCACAGGCGCTGCAGGTTCTCAGGTTTGCCGGGTGCATTGTAACCAGCACCCCCTCAAAAAGGAGAATTTGGGGTTGTGGGTGGGGGAACTGTCACATGAGCTGAAGGACAGACCAACGTGATGGGTGAAATGACAGTTGTGCACGGGGCATCGTGGAGCACAGCAGGAGGGGCACCTGCTCATCCCTGCTGGGGGTGGAGGTCATGGCGCAGGTGTTCCTGGAGTCAGGTCCGAGCCGATCCCAGCAGGTGAACAGTGGAGGCACCCAGACAGCGGGAACAGCATGGACAAAGAACAGGAGGGGGCTGCTGGCTGTCCCGGGCATGGCTGAGGGCAGAGTAGGTGGTGGAGGGAAGACAGAGGGGAGGTGGGCAGGAGCTGGGGTGGGCCCACAGTCGACCAACAAGGGGTCTGGACTCCAGGCCATAAGCCTCAGGGAGCGTTAAGCACAGGGACATCTGCCATATTCACTTTAAGGCTGGACGGGAGGAGAGCCAGCCAGGAGCTTGCCTGTTTGAGAGAGAAACAAGGCCTGGCCTCCGGAAGTGAGGGACTCACCCCCATTCACCTCTTCCCCCGTCCTCGCCCTACAAGCACATATCGGGTTAAATCCACTTCAGCTCCTCCAACACTCCTGGCTCCCCAGCTCGCCTCTTCTAGTTCATTCCACATGCAAGGAGGCCCTGAGAACCCGCAGGACCCAGCCAAGGAGGGCGCCAGGCCACGAGGGAAGCCCCTCGACTTTCCCACCCCACTCCCCTAAACAGCCTCCAACGCATCTGTGTTATTTTTATTTTCTTTGCTTTGGTCTATACAAAAAAACCAATAACCAAAAACATAAAGCGATAATAATAAAACACTCTGCTGGGACCTCCCCCAGTCCCCCACACCACGTGCGGGAGATGGGGGGGTCTGAAACAGGAAGGGGAAGAGAAAGCCCCTCACCACACACCAGAGGGGTCAGCCAAGAGCACTTCTCAGGGTCAGCTAGGGCAGCTGTGTGGGTGGGACAGGGGTGTGAGGGAGCTGTCCCCAGAGCTCCCCGGGGAGTGAGGGGTGGGCAAAGCCAACTAAGCATCCTGGAGAGAGAAGTCGGCGTCTCCTGGAGCAGGTGACTCACTCCATATCTCCTCCCCATCTCCCCTGGACGGTCCCTGAACTTTTCAAGAGAAGCTTTGGATTTCGGGGGCCTGGGTCTTGAACCTGGGCCCTGGAGACCCTGGGGGCTTAGGGCAGCTGGTCAGTGGAGTTCAGTGAGAAAATCAGACCCAGAGAAGGAACCAAAGCCCTTCCAGGCCCAGGCAGCTGGAGACAGGGAGGCTGGGGGTTTGTGGGGGTTGCTGGGGGGAAACAGAAAGGGTGCTTGAGTCTGAAGCTTTAGTGGCCAGGGCCACAGGGGCGGGGAGGGGGTGTTAGGCCCTGGACCCATGCCCAGGACAGAAAAGCAGGAGCAGAACACTATCCCAAGAAAGACCCTACGGAGGACCTCTGGAGGCACGGGGTACAGCAGGAAGTCACGCCCCGGCTTCCCCAGCTCAGGCACTTTTCTGTCTTGCCCCATCGCCTGCACGGAGAGCCTCTCAGATGAGGAACCGCACCTGTTGGGGGAGTGGGGACAGATAAGGGTAAGGGGCTCAGTGGACCTGCATCCACAGAAACTCATGCCACTCCGTGTCACCTGCCCACCACCCCCAGAAGAGGCCAGCAGGAACAGGACTCCCCACCCCTACCAAGGACACAAGAAGAAGGCAGGCCAGGGCACGCCGTGCTTGGGGAAGCTCAGCAGCAAAGGGTCCCCCCAAAAAAGAAGCACAGGTTTCAGCGGGGAGATGGGAGGGCCTCCAACAGAAGTAGGTTCTAGAGAGGAGGGAAAAGCCTGCAAAGAGGGGGCCGTACTGGGGCCAGGCCGCCTAGGCCAGCATGTGGTCTGCAGTGGGGTATGGGGGCCTGAGGCCGTCGCTGTAGGTGTCGATGGGGTAGTCTCCGTCCATGTCCATGTGCATCTCCAGCGGGTCAAGGGGCACATCGCTGGAGTACATGGGGCGGTAGGTGGCATCCATGTCTGGGGACGAAAAGTGGGTGGGTGTCGGTCCTAGGGTCTGCAAGCCACCCTTCAGGGAGCAGTCTGCACAGCCTTCAGCTGCCTCCTCTACCCATGCCCACCCCTGGTGGGCCTGACCCCCTCCCCAGACCCCACACCAGGGCATCTAGACTGGGGTACATGTGGATGCCACAGAGCAGTTGCCACTGGTCCTCTGGCCCCAGAGACATAATATTGCCCCCTCACACACACCCACACAGCCACCCAGGATCTCCAGGGTCCTGAAGAGCCTGGCACACACTTACCATCTCCGTAGGGCTCATTGATGGGAATCATGCTCTGGGCCTGAAAAAGGAGAGAGAAACATGGAGGAGAGGTTTGAAAATGCAGGCTCCGGCCGGGCGCGGTGGCTCAAGCCTGTAATCCCAGCACTTTGGGAGGCCGAGGCGGGCGGATCACGAGGTCAGGAGATCGAGACCATCCTGGCTAACACGGTGAAACCCCATCTCTACTAAAAAAAATACAAAAAACTAGCCGGGTGAGGTGGCGGGCGCCTGTAGTCCCAGCTACTCGGGAGGCTGAGGCAGGAGAATGGCGTGAACTCGGGAGGCAAAGCTTGCAGTGAGCTGAGATCTGGCCACTGCACTCCAGCCTGGGCGGCAAAGCGAGACTCCGTCTCAAAAAAAAAAAAAAAAGAAAATGCAGGCTCCAAGCTGGATATCAGCTGGGAGGCAGGGAGAGATGCTTCTAAAAGAAGGGGCTGGGCCGGATGTGGTGGCTCACGCCTGTAATCCCAGCAATCTGGGAGGTGGAGGCAGGCGGATCACTTGAGGTCAGGAGTTTCGGACCAGCCTGGCCAACGTGGTGAAACCCCGTCTCTACTAAAAATACAAAAAAATAGCTGTGCGTGGTGGTGCACACCTGTAATCCCAGCTACTTGGGAGGCTGAGGCAGGAGAATTGCTTGAATGGGGAGACAGAGGATGCAGTGAGCCGAGACTGCGCCACTGCACTCCAGCCTGGGCCACAGAGCGAGACTCCGTCTCGAAAAAAATAAAAAATAGCCCGGGTACAGTGGCTCACACCTGTAATCCCAGCACTTTGGGAGGCCAAGGTGGGCAGATTACAAGGTCAGGAGATTGAGATCATCCTAGCCAACATGGGGAAACCCCATCTCTACTAAAAATACAAAAATTAGCTGAGTGTGGTAGCATGTGCCTGTAGTTCCAGTTACTCAGGAGGCTAAGGCAGGAGAATTGCTTGAAACCAGGAGGCAGAGGTTGCAGTGAGCCAAGATCACGCCACTGCACTCCAGCCTGGCGACAGACCAAGACTCCGTCTCAAAAAAAAATAAAAATAAATAAATAAATAAATAAAAGAGGGGGCCAGAGAAAAGCAAAGAGGCCTTGGAGGAATACAGGATGATGACATGGGGTCACCCAGTGCCCTGATGTACTCGTGTCCTCAGTACTCCCCAGGGAGGAGGGTTCCCCATTCATGGAGCAGGAACTCCTGCTAGATTAGAGCAGCTCATGGGAGGAGGGTAGGAGGCAGAGGACTCACGAATGGGTGCAGGGCACTGCTCCACCCTGGAAAAGACCACCTGCTCCACCCTGGAAAAGACCACCTCAAACACCGTATACTCATTTGGGCAAAATAAAAATTGGCATTGTGTGGACATATGGTTCAACCTACTGCTTCCATCTGCTAGGAATTGTTATAAATGATCCAATTACAAAATAAAAATCTATAAAGTTGACAGTAGTAGGAGACTCCCAAAAGTCAAGTTGCCCTTGGGCAGTGCACAACTTGTGCAACCAACTACTGCGGTCCAGCCTAGGATACTCACAGCCTCCCAGGCAGCCGGGTCATGCTTGAAGAGGGAGTTGGTGAGCTCCACGGACACACGCTTCCGGTAGTCTGGGTTCTTGTCCTCAGAGATGCGGAACAGGACAGCAGCAGCGTAGGTGGCTGAGCAGAGAGGAGAGGAAAAGCCAGGTTAAACGTCTGCCAGCCTCCATCATGCCTGGGGGAGTGGGACCCAGCTGCCCTCTCCCAGCTCACCAGTGCCCTCGTTGCGGGAGTGCAGCAACTCCATGAGTGGGGCCGAGGCCCCCTCTGCATCAATGGCGTCGGCCGCCTCCTTGTCCTGGGCCAGCTCACACAGCACCCCGGCAGCCACACGCTGGATGTTCTCCACCGATGAGTACAGGAGCTGGGGAGAGGGGACATGGGAAGCAGGGGAGAGGTCGGAAGGGGTGAGGCAGGCCGGACAACACACCCCACAGCCCTGCCCACCTCCACCCTGTAGCAATTCCATAGTGGAAAACGGGCCATCACTGGGGAGTAAGTGTTACTGCTTTAAACTGGGCTGAGCGTTGTTCATGAACTACCTTGAAATTACCTGTGACTCTGCCTCATCTAACCATTGGAATCTAGTGTTAAAGAAGTCACTGACATGAAAGATGTTAAACTCTTGTCTGTTATGGTACTTGCACATATTCTCCCAGTTTGCTGATTTTTTTTTTTTTAATGCTTTTTTAAGGTTCTTTCTGAAATAGATGGTTTTCATGTTTATGTGGTTGAATCTCAAGTTGTTTTTGTTTTTGTTTTTTCCATTTGTGATCTCTTTCCTTGCTTTGAAGCTTAGAAAGCCATGCCTGTGCAGGGGGTTGCTAAGCAGTCAATCTGGTGTGGCCACTTTCCTCCAAACTCCTCCAAAGACCTCTTGATGCCTGGTCCAGGCCCCCAAAATCTGGGACTCCTAACCTTGCCCTCTAAGCAGTGGTGGGGGCACCTCTCCTGCACACCTGCCCCAGACTCACCTGCACAAACAGAGGGATGGTGTTGAGCCGGAAGATCTCCATGCGGTTCATGGGGTCCCGGGCGAGGATGTGCAGGGCTCCGGTGCAGCCCTCCACAATCTCCTCCATCCTCACACCATCCTGCGAGAGAGGAGGCAGGGGGCATGGGACAGGTGCTGTCAGCCGAATGAACTTCACAGGCTCTTGGAATTGGCATCAGTTGCAACTGACCTCTGCATTCACACACACACCCACAGAGGACACCTGCCCCCCAGGAAGGTTGTCACAGGCACCACCAGCTCACATACCGTGTAGGGCTGCTGTGTGCCTGCAGCTACGTGGCGCTGGGCATCCTGGTGGGCCTTGACCAGCAGTTGGACGAGGCGGGGGATGACCGCTGCCTCCTGCAGTGGGGCATGGTTGGCTGGGCACAGGGCCAGATTCCTGATCAAGCCAATGGTTGCCTGGCAAAAAAAAAGGGGCAGCGATCAGGGGCACTTCTTGGACATCTGAAGGATCCCAGTTTCCCAGCTTCAGGTATCCCCTCCCTCCTTCACCTCTTCTGTCCCCGAGGCCAGACACAGGCACACTAGAAGATAGCCAGAGAAGGAGACCATCCCAGCCATGTCACTTAATCCACAGGATCTGGGGTTGCTCATGGCTAATCCTTTTCTTTTTTTTTTTTTTTTTTTTTTTTTTTTGAGACAGAGTTTCACTCTTGTTACCCAGGCTGGAGTGCAGTGATGCAATCTCACCTCATTGCAACCTCCACCTCCTGGGTTCAAGTGATTCTCCCGCCTCAGCCTCCTGAGTAGCTGTGATTACAGAAGCCCACCACCACACCCAGCTAATTTTTTGTATTTTTAGTAGAGACGGGGTTTCGCCATGTTGGTCAGGCTGGTCTCAAACTCCTGACCTCAGGTGATCCACCCGCCTCGGCCTCCCAAAGTGCTGGGATTACAAGCGTGAGCTACTGTGCCCGGCTGCTCATGGCTAATTCTAACAGCCTTTGCTAAAATGACACCCCATTCCAGAACATCCTGCCAGCCCCATGCCCAGACCCTCACCCTGTCCCCTCTCTCTTAACCACCCCCCACAGACATCATGGCTTTGCTTGCTTTTCTGATCGTTCCCCAAGCCCGAATCTCAGGAAGTCTTTGCTCTAGGTGGCCCCGAAGCCTCCTGCTTGGGTGGTGTTCACATTGTCAGGAATCCCCAGCAGGGCAGCTCTGGAAGGAGGTGTCCTGAGATTTCCTCCCCGGGGTCCTTGACCCACAGGAGCCACTCTGGCCTCCCAGAGCCTCTCAAGGTGTCATCCATTTCATCCTCAAAACAAGATGCCAGGACGGCAGGGATGAAAATCACATGAGATGGGAAGTGAGCACACGGCAAATGACTTGCCAAGGTCACTTGCCACTTAGCTGCTGGGTTAGGATGCAAAGCCCCACCTCAGGTTTGCAGCAGGGACCAAGCTTCAAGGAGGGCTCACACTGACATTTTTTTTTCTAAACATGGATTTTCTTTTTTTAAATTCAATGTATAGGCCGGGAGCAGTGGCTCACACCTGTAATCCCAGCACTTTGGGAGGCCAAGGCAGGCAGATCACTGTAGGTCAGGAGTTCAAGACCAGCCTGGCCAATATGGTGAAACTACTAAAAATACAGAAATTAGCTGGAAATTGCTTGAACCTGGGAGGCGGAGATTGCAGTGAGCTGAG